CCCAGGGACCCGGTTGAAGGGGCTCTGGCCATGGGACTCTTGAGAGGTCACCTCTTCACTGGCGCGATGCCGGGGAATTGAGGCGCTTCTCCATCCCAACAGTTCTTCATGCTGTGAGACCGAATGGAATTAAGTGACGCCGACTGGGGCAAGTGCAGGAGGTCGAGCATAAGAAAACGGAGCTAAAACAAGGTCTACAGACCAATTATGAAAGTGAGTTCAACTAAAGCGATCGGTTAAAGTGAAAAAGAAAGCTCCCCATCCATGCGGAACAGAAAGTGAGGCGAGCCGGGGAGGGACGCCTCCCATGCGAATAAACTTTTAAGCGAATCGGAGGGGGGGAGCGGAAGAAAAAGCAGTTATAACTGTTGAGAGAGACTTACCAAGGCGAGCCTGAGAATTTAAGCGCATATTAAGAGACTTTTAAAACATTTGCAAAAGTAAACAATCCAAAAAGATGGCAGGGAAGAGGATGGAGAAAGAGAAACTGTTAAAAGCTAAAGGAACTGAGAGCCCAAGACCAGAAGCAACCAACGAGCTGGCAAAGACATTGGCGGAATCCATGCGCCCCCTGCTGCATCATATGAATAATCTCAGGGAGCAGCTGTCAACAATGAATCAATATATCACCACCCAGCAAATACAGTTGAATGACACTCTTAAAATGATGAATCAAACAGCTGAGAAGGTGAAAGAAGTGGACGCCACAGCCCAAAGGGTGAAGAAGAAAGTACAAAAACTGGAAAAGAAGCAAATCTCCACAGGAGATCAGTTGTTACAGCTACAAATGGAAAAAGCCAATCTGATTCTTTGCTTCCAGGGAATTCCAGAGACTAAGGGAGAGAATCTGAAGGAAAGAAAGTTGGAGAAAACACTATCAGAATTTTAAAAGACATTCCATTTGAAATAAGACAAAGGAGAAAGAAGTACAAAGATTTAATTCTTTTTCTCCAAACAAATACAATCGGAAACAGATGGCTAACTCCAGAGGGCGTAACCTTCAAAATTAAGGATAAAAAGGAAAAGATTGACTCTGTTCAGAAAGCACGGGAATTTTTAAGCGTCCTGCTGGGAGAGCCAGAGGAGGAAGGGAAAAAAGGGATGGTCCAGTGGCGAGCTGGACTCGGGGTCTTCCGGAGAAGATTCTCTATCAGAGAAAGGGGCAGCAGCCCCCAAAAGTCCTTACAAACTGCGAAAGAGACTGGGAAAGGGAAAATGAAGACTGAAGGACTCTGAACTGTGCTTTTGAAATTTCTAAAACTAGATGCTTGGGGATCTCTCTTGTAACAGTTAAAATTAAGAATGTAAAAAGATAATACTATACTTCACTTAGTTCATAATGGGACTAGCGTGATTAAGTGATAATGAATGTTTAATCTGATTTGATTACCTCCTCTCTTGGGTTTTCAGTCAGTAGTGGGTACTTTTTCTTTATCCTTATATGTAGTCCCCTTCCCTATTTTCTGTTATAGTTTGTAGTGTTAATAAAAATGCAATAAAAAAATCCCCTCCGGGGGCATAAAAGAAAAGTAAGAAATTCAAAGGAAACACACACCAACTTTTGATGCCACTGGGCTTGAAAATGTACTTGTGGAGTCAGTGTCAAATAGGAGCAGACCAGAAGAAAATGGGTCATTGGGTCTCTTGGGTTCCCTAATGGAAATTTTTAATTAAAATGCCAAATTCTTGTTTGATGGAAAGCCAGAAATTGGGACCACAGTGTGATGACTTTGCTAGTGGTCACCATGTGCCCTAGTAGCTGTGTAACATAAAGGGTGGTTTATTAATATCTATGCCCCACTGTTAGTGAAAGCCTGTTTTATACCCTTTTTCAAACCAAAGCTATGATAAAACCATTAAAGGCCCCGTTCACAGGGCGAATTTGCCACGGGAGAGCCACGATGGAATGGCGGATTTTTTTGGTGCGTTCACACCACAACATCTGATAAGTGGAGCGACCCCGTGGCCAACCTGTGGCATGCCACTGAAAATGTGCGATTAAAAAATACCTCCTCCAAGGTACTAGTAAACAGTTTGACATGGGCTGCCTCCGGACTCCCTCAGTGTGATCGCGCTGGCGCAGCTTTTCCCTCCGGCCGTCTTTGTTGCAGCGCACATTCCGAGGACCAGAACCGTGGGTTGCCACCGACACGTCTAATCGCGTTGTCGTGCATCTAATTGCGCCGCCGCAAATAGCCACGCCTCCCCCCCACGTTTTCCAGCCCGTATGACCAGGGCCAAAATTGATTTATCCAGTAAGAAAGGAAAGGGGGGGGGAGCCAGGAGCTTTAAAATCAGAGACAACAGAGCAGAACAATTCCCAGTGAAAGATTACCACCTCACCATTCCTCGGAATAGCAGTGTTTCAGAATACTTGGAGATTCTGGGGATGGAGCCTGAGGAGGGTGGGGTTTAGGGAGGGGAGGGACTTCAATAGGGTATGATGCCATAGAGTCCACATTCCAAAATGGCAGTTTTCTCCAGGTGAACTGATATCTGTCACCTGGAAATCAGTTGTAATGCCAGGGGATCCCCATCCACCACCCGGAGACTGGCAACCCTATTTCAATTTGCTCTGCAGGCCTTCACAAATGAGGTGAGATGGGCATCCCTGGAGAGAAGTTTCAGTGCCCAGATTTTCTGTGCCATCACTAAAAAGACCCCACAATGCAAGCTCATGCAGTGCATCTCTGATAGTGTGGACATATACAACAGAGCCTCAGGGGAAGTTCTTACAGCATGGGTAGGTTCAGACGGGAAAGACAGTCCTTGACTTCTTGCTTGGGGCTTTGAACTGGGATCAAATACTAACTAGGTAGTTAGCTGCAAGACATTAATTTGTTTTCAGGTGTCTCACAGGGATTTGCAGCAGTTTACAGAATATAAAACAATTCAATTAGACACTTTGACAGAACCAGTGCTCAGTGCAATAGGGCTAGGATTACAGAATTAGGCAAGTTATACTAATGCCAAAAGTGGAATTACAGTGGTGTAGAAGACAACACAGTAAAAGCAGGTGATACATGCCTTCATCATTACAATGGACTGCAATCCTATTCCATTATAAAAGTGCCTTCCTGGACTGTTCTGTTCTACTAAATTCTAATCCCTTTATAAAAATATCCTCCTGACCATTTGCACATTCTGTGGAACAACAGGTGTATGGGAGCCTTTCTGACCACTTCAGGCAGGGCGTTTCACATGGTGGGAGCCACCACTGAGAATGTATGTGAATGGGTTAACGGAGCGGCACCTGTAGATGGCTTTGCTCAGGTGAGTGAAGCTGTTGTGGTAGAGCATAATGGGGAAGGTGGTCCTGCAGATATGCGGTTCCAAGGTCATTAAGGAGTTTGTGGGTTATAACCAGTACTTTGAACCCCATAACTGATTGGTAACCAACGGAGTGTCTGCAGAATGTATGTACATGTTAAGGCCCGCTCCAATAACTACCCAAACACTTTTCATATGGAGCATATTTATGCATGCTGTCACTTCTCAGATGAAACTGCACTTGTGAATGGGTTCCCACAGATAAAGCTCTCACCTCAAATCGAGGATCCCCCCCCCCAAGGAAGCAATGCACATTCATTTAAAATAGATTCAGGTGGGTAGCCGTGTTGGTCTGAAGCAGCAGAACAAAGTTTGAGTACACTGGCACCTTTAAGAACAACTTTAATAAAACTTTGTTAGTCTTAAAGGTGACATTGGACTTGCTCATTTAAGAGTCACCCAATCTGAAGGAATAAAATGCTGAGACACCATTACATCTGGCATTATAATCCTGCATACTAGGAGTGCACTAACTGTGCGTTACCCTACGTTGTCATGTTTGTCTGAATGGGTAGCACATGTATTTTGCATGCGTGAGCAACTTTGGTGAATGCAAGCTGACCATTGGATTTTTCAGGATTTTTGTTTGCACGTATGAGGATGCAGTTACATGCTATGTAATGTGGTAACCGTGAATATCCAGAGGATCATGGTACGTGCTCCTGATACATAGTTGCCAGGCTCCTGGTGCCTGCAGAAGTAATGTCTGAAAATCACTACTGTGGTGCACATAACACCAGTAGCAGGTGGACCTTCTTGGGGGTCAATGATTTTTTAAGCTTCTGTTTGCTTGCCTTTAGTCACCATTAAGAAAGCTCTCTCCTTTTTTTTAAAGCAGTCATTAATTTATCCCACTGGAAGTAGTTTGGAGGCCATGGCACTGGAGCGCCAGCTCCTAGGTCAGGGGGGAAATGCCCCCCATTCTTATACTTCACACTTTAATTAATGAAGTGAATGCACATTTTCAAATGCCTTGCCTAATACTGAGGTTGAGTCAAGCCAGAATGCTTAGCAGAGGGGGTGGGGGCAACAAAATATCAAGCAATTTAAAACTGTCCAGGCAGTCATCAACTTGTGAGGATTTACAGAGCCATTTGCAGACCTGCTCACACGAAAACTGCAAACTGGCAAATTCTGGCCCCGGTCACACGGAGCAGTTGCCCTGCTGAAGGCACGGAAGTCCCGTGGAGTATCCGGGCGCAATCACACGGGAACATCTGGGAGGTGTAGCACTCCCGTGGCAAGCCGCCAAAGCCACGCAGTAAAAAAAAACTAGCACACCGCATGTACTAGCAAACACTTTGTCACGGGCCGCCTATGGAAGCCTCCCGGTGTGATTGTACCGGCGCGTGGCTTCCTCCCCCATCGTCCTCTTTGCTGCGGGGAAGCCGCCGTCACGTCTGATCGCATAACAGCACATCAGAATGCGACGGCGCAAATAGCCACACTTCCCCCCTGCGTTTTCCAGCCTCTGTGAGCCTTTTGTGGTCTGTTGCAGTAAAAAATAAGCAAGGTTCTTGTGCCACTTTGAAGATGAACATACTGATTCACTTCTATACCTTCTTTAAGTCGAAGTTAAACAGTTCTGAAGTTGAAGAGGTACCATATTATACCAGCTAAGCAAGTGAGATTTATCATATTCTGAGCCAAACAAGAAATAAGATGCCTACCTTTGTCTTCAGGTTTTCACCAGAGAGATGTCCCGATAAAGCAATGACCCCTCATTACCCTAAATTACTGAGTATTGTTTCATTGGAAGTGTTACATTTTGTAGGAGAGGAGGTCCATTTCTGATTGAGTAAGAGTAGCTCCTCCTTCACATTCTCCACCTCTTTCACTAAGCTGAGGACTCCCCTGTCCCACCTCCATACCAGTCTTTTGGGTCCTGTTGTGTATCTGGCAAAACTATGGCAGCTCATGCACACCCAGGGTGGGGAGGCTGCACAGGAAAGTACACTTCTGTGGTTTTCTCAGTTAACAAAAAGAAAAGTTAGTTCTACCCAAAGTGCAAATCATTTGATAAGTATGTCTAGAAAAAGCAGTTTTTTAAAACTCATCCATTCTGAATTAGCATCATACTGGATGTACATAACAGGGCTTTGTTGGATTGCAAAAAAAAAAGTGTTGTTACAAGTTAAGGAACAAAAACGGCTTTCAGCCCAACTTGTTTTTTTAAATATAACATGTAGCTCTTGAAACGAAACAGCCTACTGCAGTGTTGTGTAAGAGGCTGAATGTTCAGCATAAATCAACTTTGTCTGCTGGGGTGGGAGGGGGAGTATGTGTGGTGTATGATGAATGAGTGCTTTGTTCAGAAAAAAATAATTGCTTGCAGGGGAAGGTCGAACACACTCATGCACACACCAGTCTGTAATGCAAACATCCAGTCCTCATATCGTCATAATTGAATTTCATAAAAAGCAGGAGTGTGTGTGTGTATCTTTCAACATGTTTATGCCAAATCTTTGTAGGAAGTTTTTTTGCCTCCCTGATGTTTAGAATCAGTGACACTGGGTGATAAAATTTCACAACCGCCTTTTGGCCTCTAGAAAATACTGCAAACAAAAGAGGGGTTTAATTCTCAGTACTCAGATGGTTCTCGGCATCTGAAGTTGCATGCTTTCTAAAGAGGAAAAGGAGAAAGTAGCACGTGGAGGTACGTGTAATTTCCCTTTTTAGAAGGTTGTGTGTGCAATCCTCAAAGTGCTTTGCGAGCTTGGGGAACTTTAAGTAGTTTGTTTGTTTTCTCTCTCTCTCTCTCTCTCTCTCTCTCTCTCTCTCTCTCTCTCTCTGTGTGTGTGTGTGTGTGTGTGTGTGGCCTAAAAAGCACATTAAGTGGCAAAACTGTTCCTGAACAATGTTGCTTCAGACTTGTTAGGGTATGAGTAGACCTCAATACAGGTTATTTAACAGAACATAGTTTTGTTTGTTGGTCCATGAAAATGCTACTGGGTTGTCAGCTCTGGTGATGGGCCTCCGTGTACTGTCCGCTACTGTATTTCATGGAACTCATGACAGCATCTTCCCAGTAGTTGTGACAGAATTCTACACTCGATCCTTGTTCTGCACAATTTTGCATTTAGGAACAGAATAATGCAGTTTCTGCCCACAGAACTGGAACTCACAGGGGACAACCAACCCAGCCTGAGAAGCAGAGACACTCCATATTTGCTTCTGAGGGTGGTCTGACTCTGCTGTGACATTCTGCATGTGGCAGTTCTTGATGCAAGTCAGGAGGCGAGCCCCCAATGATACACAAACATGCAGCAGAGATTCCAGTGCATAAATTATCCATTTGGCAGCAAGTCTGGGAAGCAAAACCCTTTTGCCTGCTCATGTGCTGTTTGCCTTAGGAGCCTGGAGCTGCTGAGGAGGTTTAAAATGCCTTGAGGGGGAAAGTGAGCCAAGCACCCTGGTTGAAACGTGTTTCTTGGTACAGGGAACATGGTTGCCTCTCTTGTAGCAGACCAGATTCAAATGTGTTAGAGTGAAACTTTGATTACGTCGGTGTGACCAGTTTTTTTTCCTGTCTTGCAGGATGACAGCCTTCCCAGTAGTGGAGGAAATAGAAGAGAATCTTTCTTTCTGCTTACCTACCTGCCTGTCTGCCTAATGGCTGGAGATTCTCCTCTGCAAATTTTCCTTTCCTTTCAGTTTTTCTCCCAGCTGAGCTTCCTGCTTGGTCATGGAAGCTCACAGGATGACCTCGGGCCACTCATGCTCTCTTCCCTAAGTGCTGTTGTTGAGGTGATAAAACGGAAGAGGGCAAAAGAATGTTGTTGCTTTGAGGTCCCCACTGGGGAGAAAAACAGGGTATAAATAGCTAAATAAATCCCTACACCTGTAGATTCTCCTATGCAAAAGATGGCCCCTGTATTGACCCTACCTTGGCAGATGCATCTTTCAGAAGTGTGTGTTTGCCAGTTTAATGCAATAGTTCTACCCTTAGATTACATTATAATTATATGCCTCTCTCCTAATGTCACTTGAAATTTCCTTTAAAAAGATGGTGCGGCCTAGTGGCCAAAACAGTGATCAATGCAAAGATTATTCAAATACTTAAAAAAAAAAAGGCTATGAATTTGTTTACTGACAGTGTATTGCAACTCCACTCATTTTTTAAAAAATATGATGGAACAATTATGTTTTCTTTTCTGTTTAGAGATATTCTTCAGTACATATTTAGAAATACCTTCCTGTGCATGTTTAGAATAAAGAGAGCATGAATTTCCCTTAGAATCCTGACTTCCATCCATGTTTTCATTTTTAACCAAAGCACTAACAAAAGGGGGGACAAATTGAAGGTTAGGCAGTTAAGTCTATGTTTGGACTTTACTGCTTTTCTCTCGAGTCGCCTCTGAAGGAGGCTGAGGTCTATCAAACATTGTGGTTGATTCGTCACTGGGGTTCCCCATAACAACAATCCAGTAATTTTTATCTTCTTCAGCTTTGTGAGAGTCCAAGTAGGTGTGACAAACGACTTCATATTCCTTTCCAAAGTAGGTCCTTTAAGAGAAAACAGTGAAAACCCTGCTGTTATTGCTATGCAGTTTATAGATCTTGTGGGCCTATTTACATAAGTATGGCCCTGGTTACACAGGAGGATTTGCCCCACAAGAGGGACAGATCGGGGACGCATCAAGCGGGCACGATCACACCACAACATCTGGGAAGCATCATGCACCTGTCCCCGATCCGCCCTTTCTGGGCAAAACTGCGCATAAAAAAAACACACCCTAGAAAACACTACTACCTACCTGAAAATCCACTGCAGGGACGGGCATTTGATCGCCAGCGTGCCCGTCTCTCCCGCAGCATGCGAGGTCCTGCCGAACTGCGCATGCACATGCATGCACAATGGGCTGGCCTCGCTCTCCGGTCTGTGGCTTCCTCCAAGCATCTGATCATGCCGGGGAGGACCTGCGCGGCGGCTGGGGAGATCTGTCTGATCCCGCCGCCGCGTGTCTTTTTTGGTGCAGCTCAAAAAAGCCGCACTTTGGCTGCACCTATTTCCCCCAATGTGACTGGGGCCTATGTAGATTACTAGATCCCCCCCCCCAATGTATTACTCTTCATTGCTGACTGGCAGCTTCATGTGTGAATTGATTCTGTTGGAAAGGGTTGCAGTTGAGGAGACCACATTCCATCTGAGGCTCAATCGCACAAGCACCTCATCTTTCGATCTTAAGAGTCCTTTTCAGACATTACATCCATACATACAACTCCCTCTTATACCCAACTCTTATAGGATAGCAAGGGTCAGACCCTATCAAAGAATGAATGCAAGACTCACATCTCAGGGTTGGTTCACTTGTGCACATTTAACTTCCGATAATTCCAGAGATTTTCAAGAAGAAGAAGAGAGAAGAGATTGGATTTATCCCCCGCCCTTCACTACCCAAGGGAGTCTCAGAGCGGCTTACAAACTCCTTTCCCTCCCCCTCCCGACAACGGACACCCTGTGAAGTAGGTGGGGCTGAGAGAGCTCTGACAGAAACTGCTCTTTTTCGAGAACAGCTGTGCCAGAAAAACAGGTTGCTTACCTGTAACTGATTATCTTCGAGTGGTCATCTGTGCATTCACACCGATGGGTTTAGTGCGCTGACGCTGAACTGATCGGTATTGTAGCAAGCTCAATGGATTTTTGCGCCCAAGCCTCCAGCATGTGCAGGAGCCCCAACCACACATGCCCAAAGCGGTGGGCGCGGAGATCCCGCCAGTTCCTTATGACCACCACAAACTCAGGAAACTAGAGCCTGCCAGCAGTGGGGAAGGATGGGCAGGTGGTGTGAATGCACAGATGACCACTCGAAGATCATCAGGTATAGGTAAGCAACCTGTTTATCTTTGACGTGGTCTCTGTGTTTCACACCGATGGGAGAGTAGCAAGCAGTGGCCTACCTGGAGGAGGGAGTTGGCAGGCAGTTACTGCAAAGCTGACGATAGAACTTGCTGTCCCAGCTCAGTACGGAAAGACCGTCGTACATCGAGGACATAGTGTTTAATAAAAGTGTTGGGCGTGGTCCAAGTGGCAGCCAGACAAATATCCGAGAGGGAAGACCCCTTGAGAAAGGCAGTCGAAGTGGCCACTGCCCTGGTGGAATGTGCTCGTAGAGAGCCAGGTAGAGGACATTTGACAAGAGCATAACATAATCTGATGAGCTCGACAATCCACTTGGACAGGCACTGGGATGTGATCTTAGTCCCAAGTCTGGCTGGCGCATATGAAACGAATAAGTGGGGATCACGTCTTGACTGGCGCGTCCTTTGCAGGTAGAATAAAGTAAAGGTAATGGTTCCCTTGCTCGAAAGCCAGTCGAATCCGACTCTAGGGTTGCGGTGCTCATCTCCGTTTCAAAGCCAAAGAGCCAGCGCTGTCCGAAGACATTTCTGTGGTCATGTGGCTGACATGACTAAACACCAAGGTGCACGGAATGCTGTTACCTTCCCATTGAAGTGGTACCTATTTATCTACTTGCAAGGAGGCGTTCCTCAGGCGTGGTTGGGTTTGGAACGAAGTCCAGGAGGAAGACTTCCGCTTGAAGATAGAATTCCGATATTACCTTAGCCAAAAAGGAAATATCCGTGACTAAACGGATGCCATCTGGGAGGATCTGCAGATATGGAGGGTCATGCCTAAAGGCAAAGATTTCACCAACTCTTCTAGCTGAAGTAATGGCCACTAAGAAGACTGTCTTCCAAGACAGGAGGTGGAGATTGCACATGGCGAGCTGTTCAAATGGTTTTCTAGTAAGTTGGCGTAACACCAGAGGAAGATCCCAAAGTTCCATCAGACATTTAACTGGGGGATAGAGGTGCAAGAGGTCCCTCAAAAGACGTTTAGAAAGTGGATGCGAAAAAACAGAACATCCATCAACTTGAACATGGTAAGACAATAATGCGGCCAGGTAAACTCTCAGAGGAATGGGATAAACCTGCGTCTGCCACAGAGAGCAGAAAATGTGGCCAGGTAAACTCTCAGACCTGCGTCTGCCACAGAGAGCAGAAAATCAAATATTTTTGTAAGACCCACGGTTTCGGGCGAAGAACTGGTGCCGTTCAGGAACGAACAAAACTTGGTCCACTTAGATGAGTACGACCTGCGAGTAGTTGGTTTTCTGGAGTTCAATAGGACATTCGCTACCCGATCAGAAAAGGCAAGGGAAGCACCCTCCAAGCCGTTAGCTTGAGGCAGGGAACATCGTGATACAGGAGCTGTGTCCCACATAGGGTCAGAAGATCCGGAGCTGGGGTAAATAGATGAAACATATCTCTGGCTTACAAACTCCTTCCCCTCCCCACAACAGACACCCTGTGAGGTAGGTGGGGCTGAGAGAGCTCTGACAGAAACTGCTCTTTTTCGAGAACAGCTGTGCCAGAACTATGGCTTGCCCAAGGTCATCCAGCAGGTGCAAGTGGAGGAGTGGGGAACCAAACCCAGTTCTCCCAGATTAGAGTCCGTGCACTTAACCACTACACTAGACATTGCATCCATGCATAGTGGAAGCCCAGCACTGGGGCATGCGCTACTTGTGATGTTCCTAATAAGGGCAGTTGCCATGGTAACCCAACCATAACCCTGAAGAAAAAATCCAACCAGGGCAGCTTTTCCCTCCATGGTCTGTACCTAGTGTGGGCCAAAACACATGACATGAGTAAGGTCATGGGTGTCCAGCTCAACTCTCAGTCACGCATTCAGGCAGGGACTAAACTTTAAACATCCTTCTGTCATGCTGTGGTGTTCCAAACTCTGGGAGGGGGAAGGACGAGCTTCAGACTTCCCTCCTGTGCCCTTTTCACCAGCAGAAATATGGGGTGGGGACCTGTTTTCCCCTTCCTCAGGCTCCACGTGTGGACAAAAGTGGCATGGGAGAGAAGTCTGAAGCCCTTCTTTCCCTTCCTACAGCATATTATTATCATATTATTTATTTGTTTCATTTTTATACCACCCATAGCCAAAGCTCTCTGGGCAGTTTACAACAAATATAAACCAGTAAAGTAGAATAAATACAATAAATAGACATTAAAAATAAAAAGTAATATAAGATAACATAAGAACATTAGAACAGTAAAAACAGTAAAGAAAAATTGACAGAGGCACCAAGGATTATCTTCTGGGGCATAGTGTGTAACCGGAAGACCTGCTGAAGGAAAGCCTTAGCCAGAAGGCGAGCCGTAGGGAGCATCTTAAATGGGATAAAATGCGCTTGCTTGGACAAGTCCCCCCCCCGCCAAATCACTGTTTTACCCCTGCTAGGGGGTAAATCTATGATGACGTCCATGGAGATAACTTCCCACGGTCTACCGGGGGTGGGCAGGGGTTGTAGGAGACCTGGCAGCTTCCCCGGATGTGCTTTGCACATAACGCAGGTTTGACAGGATTTGACAAAGAGGGAAAAATCCTTCCTCATTCCGGGCCACCAAAACTGGTGCTGTAGCAGATGTAACGATTTGACAAACCCCATGTGCCCCACTAGTTTATTCCCGTGCACTACGGATATTATTTTGCCCCTCAACGCTGAAGGCACGAACAGTTTGTGGCGACGGTACCAACAGCCATTGGACCTTTCTTCAACCTCCCCCTCTTTCTGCAACTCGAGATGATCAGTATCAGAAAGGTCCAATGGCTCTGGGGGGTTGGGTTTTCGCCTGGCTGTGTGTTGTCAACACCCCTCCCAACTGTGAGGGCATGAACATAGATTCGAGCACACCCTCCCTTTGACTGTCAGGCTGTGGGAGGCAGGATAACGCATCAGCCAAGGAGTTAGATTTCCCTGGGAAATAGTGCAGGGTGAAGTTAAACTTGAACAAATCCACCCATCAGAGCTGCTTAGCATTCAAATTGCGGGGCGTGCGCATCACTTCCAAGTTTTTATGATCGGTCCACACCTCAGATGGCACCCTGGCACCCTCCAACCAGTGTCTCCATGTAGAAAGCGCTAATTTGATAGCTCCCGCCTCCTTGTCCCAAACCAACCAATTACGTTCAGTGTCGTTAAACTTTTGGGAGATGTACGCAAGGGGATGTAGTTTCCCATCCTCCCCTTCTTGCAAGTTGGTGCCACCTATCACAACATCTGAGGCGTCTACTTGCACGATGAACTTTTTTAGTTCGTTTGGATGAGCCAGCACGGGCTCGGATGTGAACAGGGCTTTAAGACGTTCAAATGCCTCTTGACATGTATTAGTCCAGTTCAGTTTGGCCCCAGGGTGGGGGCTTTCCGGCCCCTTCCCCTTAGTCCGCAAGAAATCCATGAGTCGTAAGCTCACTTGGGTGAAATTTGGGAGGAAGGATCTGTAGAAATTGGCAAACCCGAGAAATCCTTGGAACTGCCTCCGGGTCCAAGGAGGTTCCCACCCCACAACATCCCGGACCTTGGCCAGATCCACCTCCAACCCCCTAGGGGAAATGTGGTACCCCAGGAAGTCTATCTCAGTACAATGGAAGTCACACTTTGACAAACAGTTTGTGCTTGTGTAATGTGTGCAGGACCTCCCGCACCAAC